GTATTTATTCAGCAAGATTCATGAAAATTCATTAAGAATCAAATACAAATTTGTAGAAATTAGACAAATCTAATGAAACTATTAAACGTTTGAAATTTTCATTAATTATTAATTCAGTATTATAAATAATCACTAATGTTTATTTGAAATTTATCATAGTTTCTCAAAAATCATCAATCTCCATCAAAATTCCTCAAGATTCAAAATTCATCGAAAAGAGGTATTTATTTACCAAGATTCATAAAAATTAAGAATAATTCAACAACTCAATTATTAATTATTTAAAATTTTCATTAATTTTTAATTCATAAGTATGCAATATTTATGAAGGCTGGTTCAATAGCAAGAAACTTCACCTCAATTTATATAACAATTAATTCTAAAACTAGAACAATTTGTTACAAACAAAAAGCCATATTAAAATAGCTCACAAGAGAAACAAAAAGACCAAATTATAATTTATCAAACTCGATTATATTTTATGTCTAAACATTTATGTTGCAATTAAATTCAAACTCATTAATTTATTTTATACCGGTGAACTTTCACAAAATATTATTAATGCTTCCGAAATACAAGTCATTCCTTCGTGGTTTCTTCGAAAAATTACAAATTATTATATGAAATTATTGGAGAAAGTAGAAATTACTTCAAAACTATGCCCATTATATCTATCGAAGATATTTTGTAATTTATTAGAAAAATGGACGGTGTAATTGGATAACTATGTTATAGAAGAGGCACCGAATTATAATTTATTATAACACATGTATTATATAAATTATTATAAGCTAAATTTGTTATGATGTAATAATTATACGGGCAATGAATTTAGGTTTTGTCATACTTTGCAGAATTTATCAAATTGATAAAAAATGAGTCAATAATCAAATTTTTCTCAATAAAATCAAATTTTGTTAGATATTAGGAAATTCAAGCAATTAGCAAACATAATTTTTCAATTAGTCAAAAGGCAAAAAATATTATGAATATTTATCAAAAATTGCCCACTAAAATTTAACCAGATATTATAAAATTTCATCAATCATTACCAAATGATCAATTTTTCCTAATTATGTAAAATGATACAGATTTTTGTCAAATATCTATTTTAAATTAAAATTTCAATTTTGAAAAATACTCAATTTGTTACGAAATTAATTACATTTTATATTTCTTTATTTGGCAGTAATTTTGTGTTTCTTCTGAATTTAGAAAACACCACTAAAATATATAAATATTCTAAATATAATTTTTTGAAAAATATAAAATTTTATTAAAATCGATCTACAAGGATTTACAAAATATTATCAAATTTAATAAACAATTTACAGATTTAATTATATTTTATCACGCTTTTTCTAAATTTTTACTTTAAATTTTGATTACAATGTAATCAAATTAAATTTCAAATAAATTTTAAAATTGTTAAATTTTATCAAATTTCATCAGGTTTTGTTCAATATCAGATTATAACAAATTTTAACACGTTTCACACGTTTAATGAAATTTACATTAAAATTTTGTATATAATGCCATACTAATTTCTCAATTTTTACTTAATTTGTAAAAAATCTATTAAGATTACTGAGATATGTTTTTCTTTCAACTTCATTTAGTTGAGAGCTATTATTGTAATATTGTTATTTATTGATTATTATTAATATTTTTATGGATGCTTGCAATTTTAGCAAATAAATTATATAAAAAAAATTCATGAACGTCTGACCAAGCCCTATTATCAAGTTTTAATAAACCCTGTCAAAAAACAAATAATTATAGAATATTATTTAATTTCGTTAAATTTTAGATTTAATAACATGTTTACAAAATTGTTGAAATTAATAATAAATAATGAAATTTGATCACAGTTTTATATTACATCCAAGATTATTAAATTTTATCAATTCTTATCAAGTTCTGTTTAATATCAAATTATCAAAAATTTTATTACATTTTACTAAATTCCCTTGAAATCTTGAATTTAATCCTAACATTTTTTTAAATCTATTAAGATCAAGATTACCGATATTTTTTTTCCTACTTTATTTAGTTATTTTAGTTAAATACAAAAATAAAGACTATTATTCTAATATATGTATTTTTTTATACTTTTATCTATTTATATTATTTTAGTATACAAGTTTTTTGCAATTTCAGCAAATTTAATAAATTTTATGACTAATATTTTTATGTGAATCTTTTATTTCATAACATCATCTTCATATATAAAGCGCGATTATCAGAGCAAAACGTTAATTGCGAATATTTTGTAATTTTATAATTAGAGAAACAAATTATTATATTTTGTTCTATATTATATAATATCGTAATCTTAAACTCGGTTAATTGGACAATTAGGAAAACAACTGTCCATATCAGATAAAGTTTTCTAAAACCTTGTGGAAAATTGGTAAGAAAAAAAACGATGGTCTATGTGGTTAAAATGTAAAATACCATAAATAATTATATCACCGTTGTATGGCGATACAATAGAAATAAATCAGTTTCTCTTTACGCCCGATGACACCACAATTCCTTTATTATATTACTTATTGCCTTACTACATCGTGTTAAATTGTACCAAACCGTTTGTATTTTGTATATCACAAAAGGCGACCACCTGGTATGAAATATCCAATGAAAATCATCGGATATTTCATTAACAATCTTCACGGCGTCAAATAAATCAATAATGAAATGCAAAACAACTAGATACTAACACAGGAACGAATAGTGGAAGAGCTGGGAAAAAAATTGTAACATAGAGAAAAAAATATCAATAATCTCAGAGGTAAAATGTGTGAATTATAACTTGCCCTTAGTGGCCTGATGTCTCTGATTTTCCAGATAATTTTTATTTCATTTTGAAATTAAATTTGTGGAGATTTTATTAGAACAAAAGATGAAAGTTGTCCACCAGTGCTCTATCTAATTGCACATATAAAATCGTGTTCAAAACAAGAACTGTATTTTCATTAAATCATTGGTTCACGCCTCGATTTCAATTTAAAACATGACAGTACACTATGTTCGAACCAAATTGGATTGCTAATATACTGTTAAATAATTTAGGCAAAGAGCTAAAGAGAAAAACGTGTTAACCAAGCAAGGAAATATTCCAAGGAATTAGGAAAATAAGGCCAAGTTTAAATAGTGTCCAGAAATTTTTTATGAAGGCATCAGAAATCTACCAGAATAACAACTGCTGTTAGCTAATTATATTAATAAAATTTATTGTTTACAATAAGCAACAACTATTGTATATTTTTCTGAACCTGTCTGTATTTTCGCTCATATTCTTCTTTAGTGCAAACCCTTACCAGCCCTTAATCCTTTTATATTCCATATGACCCTATTGTTCCTAATTGGAAGTTTCCAATTATTTATACTAGAAATAGTTTTTGGAAACCAACAAGTTCCTTTAATCAAGGTAATTTTTTGTACAAAGGACAAATTTGTTGTGCCAACCCTTACCAGTTCTTAATCATTTTAAATTCCATTATGACTCCTATTATTCCTAATTGGAAGTTTTCAACGATTTATACTAGAAATAGTATTTGGAAACCAGCAAGTTTTTGTATTCAAAGCCGTTTTTGAACAAAGGAAATAAATTTGTTGTGCCAACCTTTAACAGTCTTTAATCATTTTAAATTCCATTATGATTCCTATTATTTCGAATTGGAAGATTCCAATTATTTATATTAGAAATAATTTTTGGAGACAAGCCTACCTTTAATCAAGGTAAGCTTTTGTACGAAAGGAATAAATTTGTTGTGCCAACCCTTTACCAGTTCCTAATCATTTTAAATGCCATTATGACTCCTATTATTCCTAATTGGAAGTTTCTAATGATTTATACTAGAAATAGTTGTTGGAAACCAGCAAGTTCCTTTAACCAAGATAATTTTTTGTACAAAGGCAACAAATTTGTTACGCCAACCCTTGCCAGTCCTTAATCATTTTAAATTTTATTATGACTCCTATTGTTTCTAATTGGAAGATTCTAATTATTTATAATAGAAATAGTTTTTGAAGACCAATAGTTTTTTTTAATCAAGGTAATTTTTTGTACAAAGGGAATAAATTTGTTGTGCCAACCCTTACCAGTGCTTAATCATTTTAAATTGCATTATGACTCCTATTACTCCTAATTCAAAATTTTCAATTATTCATACTAGAAATAGTTTTTGGAGACCATCAAGGTAATTTTTTGTATATAGGGAATAAATTTCTTCTTATTCCTGGGTTGCTCCAGATATCGTTATTGGGCCAATTTTACTAAAGACCTTCTTAATAAATTTTGTACTTCTAGTTTTCATCATTTGATCCATCATATTACTTTTATTGTTTGCGATAGTTAAATTATTTTTTTCTATTTTTTGTCAAATTATTGCCACCAACTCTCGGTCTATTTCCAGGTGTTTGATTTTATTAATTAATGAATTTGGAGGTTTTCACCAGTACCGAACACGTCACAAAGATAAGATAAAAGACAAACGGTGTTTAGATAATTTAAGTCGCGTTTAATTAACGCCTTAGAGGAAATATCAATCATAAAATTTTGAAAAGCATAAAATTAAAACGAATCAGATTATTCTAAACTCACCGAAGAATTTTAATTATAATTATTTTTCAATAGTATAAAATACCATTTAATTGTAATCTAATTTGCAAAGTTAGTTTCCTGTGCTTCGGCGGAACCACATCCGTTTTAAGAAGAAGATGACGGTAGAGAGGAACATGTTATCAGGTAGCATCGATATCAGATATTGACTCTAGTAACACATGTATATGAATTGACTCAATTGCTTTGTTCTAAAAATTAATTTTATACTAAATCAAAACCTTGTTAGAATATTCTCAAGCCATATAATCATAATTTTCATATCACGTATATATTTCAACAAATAATATATCCTTTATACACAATTCAATTTTAAATCGTCAATTTACAAAATAGTAAAAAAACTACTGGATGTCAACACAAAACCATCAAATTACGTATTGGCAGAATGACTTTTCCTCAAATGCCTAAGATCTTTGAGTCTTTTCAAAATGGCATCATGTTTTGTTGATTCATCTTCCTCAAAACTTCCTTCACCCAAAGATGATGCATCGTTATTGTATGATCTTTCTGTTAATCGTAATGGAGCAGCATTCTATAAAAATAAACATGATTTTATGGTAATAAGTTTTCGTTTTTATTACTTTGTCTGCAAAACAGAAGTGTATTGAGTGCATCGTGATGAATAAGTATCACGAAAAGAACCAAAATTGTGATAAGTAACAGCACATGGTAAATAATTTGCCAATAAATTTGAAGGTAAATTTGTCAACCTGTTTCTGATCATTTTATCTATTTCAATTACCATTTCGGTGTTGACCCTAGCAGCAGGTCTAAGAGCTGCATCCAAAACAGTACTCAGTATCCTGCTCGCCAGCCTCATCGAAAACTGGTAACATGATCCATATCCAATAGCACTACATTTGACAACAAACCGTTCAATTTGCGGCTCCTTAAGTCTGATCATGGGTTCCACAAAATGATCATAAATTTTAACAGCTCCTCCAGATATTGGAGACGTCACCCACGCCAGGAATCCAATTTTGACTTCGTAATAAAATGGAACCCAAAATAAAAATGTGTCAGTAATGCATTCCAAGGCGACGTAGGCACAAAAGACGACAAAAAATTTGACTTGTCCGTAAAGTTGTTGGAGGACATCATAATCGCACAAAGGATTTGATAGAATTTTGTAACTTTTATAAATTGGATAGGTACATCCAAATATTAGAAATATTAAACGCGCTAGTAGAGCAGAAAACATGTTGAAATCTATTTATAAAAAATTATTTGATGTTATTCTATATTTAGGATAAATTTTGAAAGATTTGTAATTTTTATTACAGCATTTGTTTTTTTTTTATATTTATGATTACTCCGATTTGAATTTTTTCCCTTTGGCAGTTGAAAATAAAAACTAACAAAACAATAATACAAACTAGTTGGTATTGGTATTTTGCCTTGAGGCAAGTTACATGAACTTCCTATATATGTAAATAATCGAGTTAAACAATAAAAAATAAATTAATTTATGAGTGATTAAAATTATTCCGAGTTGATTCATTAAACATAATTGAAAACAAACGAACACGTTAACTCGAAGTATTTTCTTAAAGCAAATTTTCAAAAATCAATATTTTTTTAATTGAACCAGTTTCCGTAGGAATTTAATGGTTCAGTATGTTCAATAAGACCAAGTACTCTATCGTTATACCAAGTAAATCGTCTAATTTTAATTTTAACAAACGTCAAAAAAACTACTCATTTTCTCAAACTTTGTTGAATTTTTAAAGTTAAACTATTTGTCATAAGGCCGTAATATTTCAGTAAGTTCTATAAGACCGTGATATATATCGCCAAAAAAGTTCCATAAAAAACGGCTTAAATTTTTTTTTCAACAGTTAATCACAAGAAAACGGCTTGATAGATTTTCACCTAATACTAATCAGTATCATTCCCAAATAATATCGTTCGAACTCGGTAGTGGACGAAAAGTTTAATACTTGTATTGGCCATTGTAATACTAAACTACTTTTCTCTCAAGATGGTCTTTTTTCAGCCCTGATCTCCGCAATATTTTGAAGAAATCAATGTTTTCCCACCATTTGTATGTGAATTTGATTTCCTTTCTATTGCTCCATTTTCAGCAACCAGATAATTTCAACATCTTGTGAGATCATCTAAAAATAATTTTGTGCACTAATTGTAAAACTTCTAATGGCGAAATGCTTTGGAAATATCTTTGGTGAGAACTCTATTTCCAGCTGCTGGGATGCTTTTATTCTTTTGCGACAATTAAATAACATTGTGTCATATGTGACTGAAATTCATATAAAACGAGTAGATAGTATTGTATTTCATATTGTTTGTAGGTGTCTGGGAAAGTGATATTAATGAGGTGTCTGCAAAGATTTTGTATGTTATCTAAATTACATAATGACCTGGGAGAGAAAGATTATGAGAAAAATGTAACACACATTTGATGTAATTCGAAAAACATATTTGAATACCCACAAAATTATGCCTAAAGTTAACAAAACTAACATATGTTTTAAGATGCACTTTTTTGCTCAGGATATATAACTGGAAATGACCTTCAATTCTAAAGATTATACTTGAAAACAGTATTGATTGATCAAACTAATGGTCTCATGCATTGTTTGGCAATATTATTTACAATAAATTGATAGGGTAGAGGAAAGCTTTAAAATCCACGGGTAAAAAGATCTATTACCGATATCTCAAAAACAAATAGAGTGAAGAATTTTTGACAACAGTATTTGAAAGTAGAGAGAAAAAGATATGTAACAAACCATCACCTTACGACTTAGGAGATGAAGTCCAATGTTTGAAAATCCATAACAAAAATATTTTCTTTCGTTGTTAGATTTTTTGGTTGTGAGCACTGTTGTTTAGTTTACCAGACCTTAATATAATTTTTAAGTATTCGTTATTTAATTGCTTTATTTATTAGATGTATTGTTAATTTTAAGATAAATTTAAGGGTTTCTTTCATATAACCTCTATAAATGCTTACATCTGGGGTAAAAAGGACCAACTGAACTTCACCCTGACAAAGGTGCGAACATTAAAAAATAACAGATAAAAAAGTAAACTAACTTAAAAAAACTAAATAAATTAAATAGTTATTCCAACTCTACTGATGAATATTTCTGACAAAACACCAGATCAATGTTATATACAGTATGATCTCTGTAAAAAATGTACCCATGAAATTTGTATTTTGCATTGGTTGAATAATGTAGCTATTATTTTGAAAAATTCCTTTAAAATTAAAAATAAGAAATTGGATCTGTTTGACCTCTGTCCATCTCATTCGACCTCTCTTATGGGGTAATTGAATTCCTTCAGAAATAAAGACGTTTTACAAATGATTTAATCAAGAATTTTCTTTGCTATTCAGACTTAGCATTATACGAATATATATATATATATATATATATATATATATATATTATATTATATTTACCCTTTCTGTATGTGTATTAAAGTTTATGAATAGTTCATTTGCGGCTACGATCAAATAACCGGCAACAAACATAGAATATTCCTGCAGACTGTAATTTAAAATGAACATGTCTACATATAAATATTTGTATCCTCATATCTGTATAAGAAAAAACTATAATTGTCGTGTAATTCAGTATATCTTCTCTGAAATCAAAGAACATAGATAGAATTAACCAAGCCAAGAGCAGAATTCACGATTCATATAGATTATTATTTTGACCTTTTGCAAAGAAACTAACTTCTTGGTTCGCATACTATAGGAAATCTTGCGTAACCGACGTTGAACGGCCTTTCGAATGCCTACGGAATTTCAATAAACTATAAAGAATTTTGTATAATGTTATCAGACATGTTTTATAATCAAATATTGAAAGGTTAAAGTAGAATAAAATTTGAATTGGTTTGCATTAAGATATACATTTAATGGTTTGACATATTACAATGTTGTAAAGACTGGTGTAATTGTTAATCATATTTTTTATTGAAATTATTAGATTCAGTCTTCCAACTCGTCACCCCCACTTTGGAGTATGAACTTAGAAATTATATTTATTTTTTGTAAAATTTTAGATTAAGATTTTAGATTTCAGTTCAAGCAAAAAAAATACTTGAGTGTTTGTATTTTTTATCTATTCACAAAAGAACTAAATATATAAATGTATAAAATAAATATATTTACCTAATATGCAAATAAGAGTATGGGCCAATTTTTTGAACAAAAACTGCGTCTTTGTGCAATTTTTGTTTAACATCTTAATCCGAGCAACATAAAACATGCAATATAATTGCCAAAAATTAAGCAAAATACAAAAAATATTAAATTTGTTCCAACTAAAACCGGTACGCTAAAAACACACCTAACCTTGTTCATGCCCTTGTTCTGGGTTGCCGGCAAATAGCTGGTACCGGTTGCATGTGGGACTTTTGAATTTTGTTTTAAATTGATTATTTTTTTATTATTTTTTTTAATATTAACATAAAATATACTAGTATTAGTAGGTATGAACCTAGGTTTTAGTAATTTGGTTTTATTATTGTCCCGCCCCGAAGGAGGTTCTTGTTTTTTTGCATTTTTCTCACCCTCTTTATTATGTATTTCTCGGATTTTTAGACCTTTTCCATCTATAATTTTACTTGAATGCTTCCATTTATACATAGGTATGCAATTCCAATTATTTTTTTTCTGCATTAGTATGGTTCTGTCGTTCAAATTACCCTATTTTGGTTAATCGATAATTTTAATTTTGCAACTTTAAATTGGACAGAGTCAGAAATTCTAAAAAGCTTATGAACAAATGATATATTTAATTACTGATATGTATTTAATAACTCTATAAAGAACTCTGTACAGTTCAATTAAAATATAAAATAATAGCTTTAAGATATTTCCAACGATCGATATTCTCTATTCAATCCAATTCTGTACAAGATTGAATAGAAGTTTCCTCGAGCTCAAACGAAATATATTTATACAGAAATGCATTTCATTAACAACTCTGTCGAATCTTTTCAGTTCTGATTCAACATTTTATTTCATATCTTTTATTTCCGTAGTTCGAATCGTAATATTTGAAAACGTATCGCGAATGAGATTACTCGCATATTATCTTACTCGGCGAAACAGGATGTTTCTCTTTATAATTTCATTTATGCATTTTTCATCTTCTCTTGTCAAAACCACCGAGCGATTGCAGAAATTCAAACAGAAATGAACTGAGAAATAAAATCATAAATTATTTTTTATCATAAAATATTTTTTAATTGTCTTAACAAAGTGGCTTGATTATAGATAGCAACCTAAGTGATAGTCCTATCTCTTGAGACTAATTTTGTCTTAAAATTTCTGCCACTCTAATAAATTTTTTATTGGTGCCCGGTTAGGAGCATAATTACGTGAAAACATATTGCTTGATATCAGGCTGACTTATAGATCAGTAATTTCCTAAGTAGTCCGATAGGCCCACAGAAACTCACGACATCTCTCAGGGGGTCTACGTCAACAACAAAAATTCTGGGTCCACAAAATGAAAATTTGGCGGTTCAGAGCTGTGGATCGGAATGCAGTACGTCAATATCTATTTATTATTTATTAATAAAAAGTCAAATACAATATTTATACATAAAACTAAAAAGTGAACAAAAATATTGTTACTTTTTATGAAAATGTAAGTTTTAGCATAATTAGTCAATCGACTTGTGGACGCAATATGGTTGAGCTTGTAAAGACCCTATTTGCTGACTGACTGAGTATTTCAAGATGCTAAAGATAAAAGACGTTTTAATAGTTATGAAATCTTTCAACAAAAAAACATGTAGACTGGACATCAATTAGCCAGGAGAAGTGAGGTTAAACCTTACAAAATTGTTGTCAAACATTGATCAATAGAAAGTTTTATTAGTTTCTAATCAAATAAGTATTTTGTTTAATTCCAGTCCTGTATTCAATCTAACAAACTACTTCCTCTGCTTTATAATTCAGTTTTCTCGCGAACATCCGCTACTCTGATCTTTTTTTTCTCTCAGCATATTCCTCACAGAACAAAATTCTTGCGGTTTTTCTGCATTTATCCAACTTCTTCCGTAGTTACATCTCCAACGATTTTATGGACTCGTAAATTGATTGAAAGGGATACATAAATATTATTTAGATTTTTTATTATTTATTCATATAACCATTTTTTTAAATGACACGTGATTAGTTGTATGATTTAAATTTGATTTGCAGGAACCAAC